CTCTCTCTCTCTCTCTCTCTCTCTCTCTCTCTCTCTCTCTCTCTCTCTCTCTCTCTCTCTCTCTCTCTCTCTCTCTCTCTCTCTCTCTCTCTCTCTCTCTCTTCTTCTCTCTCTCTCTCTCTCTCTCTCTCTCTTTCTCTTCCTCGCTCTCTTTCTCTCTCCTGTCCCTCTCCGTTGCTCTCTCTCCTCTTTCGCGCGCTCTCTCTGTCGCTCTCTCTTCCTCCCGCGCTCTCTCTCACTCGCTCACTCTCCTCTCTCAGACGCGCTTTCTTTCGCTCTCTTTATATGTTTCTGACGTTATGCACACACGTGTGTATGCACAAACGTACGTACCACATTCACGCGCGCACACGTACGCACGCACGCACATTCTATATGTTGCAAAGTTTATTTCGCATAATGTATAAAGCTTCCGTTTTTTTTTCATTCAGAGAAATGATGCCTCAAGCTATGACTCCATTGACTAAAGATATGTTCGTAACAACTTTGAGTGGTTGCATACAGGTGCGTACGGGTAAATATTATAGAAAATACTGCAATAGAATAAATTCTGTTTTTAAGATTTGGATGAGCGCCTGCCCAGTATATAGCAAAAGCAATCATTATTTGTTGAAATCATACAAAGAGAGGTACCTACTTCTAAATAGAGAGCGGATACCATCAAACAAATAACCTCAAGTAAATTGACTTCATAATTGTCTATCACGATGTGTCAATTTAAATATCACGCAACTTCTTGACATAGTCTCTGTATTATATATGTGCGTAAATGTTGGTAAAAGTTCATATGACTGCTATAATTAGAATACGGACACTCGAGCTATATCTCGTCGTGGACGATCGGTACACTAGAAACCCTTCCATCACCATATTACGAACATTCGTAACGCAATATTTCATAATGTAAATAACAATTTTTCTATTGACTCCCATTGCAGATGCTCGCATAAGAATTTTCTACTCAATTTATTAAAAGGCGAATTTTCGTTTCCTATCCCGAGTTTATTGATCATAATTTACAAATTATTAACGGATTTTCGTATTCCGAGTTTCCGTAATGCCTCGTGTTAGTATATGAGCAGATTTAATAAGGAAATTGTATAAACTGACGTGTGACTTAGCTAGCAAAGTATTTCGTGTATTTCAGGCTTTACGAAGTGATGTCGCAGGATACTGTCACAAATCCTTCGCCGACACAATGATAGCGACGTTCTGCATGCACTTCTTTCTGAATGTCTACAACGTAAGCATTCTATGGCACATTGTTTTTTAAGATGCTATGTCGCCGTTCCACGTGCGATGTCCAGTTCGGATACATCCTTTTCTAGGCATAAAAGAATTCCTCGGTTATACACGGACACACACGCCCGCACGCACTCGTACACGCACTCCCACATGTGGCACGCGCGCACACACATACACAAGCGCGCGCACACGCACATGCACACACGCTGACGCACGCGCACGCTGAATCACGGTCGCACATATGACGCGCAGGCGCGCACGCACGCACACACATACACATAAATAATATATTATAATTATACATGTACTAGAAATTAGTCTAATTAGAAAACGTCAAACGACACCACATACTGCTACTTAAGCAATATAATACGATCTCATTTACTTTACGATGTGACTACATATAGCTAGGTATATATTCTAGTGCGGATACTACATGAATGAGTACACAACTGGAATGAACACAGAGGCAGCCAAGGTTCAATCCGATATCATGTTTTTTGGGCGACCCTTGGGTGACGACATATTAGAGGAAGTACACAGACGCTATGGCAACACACGCACGCCGTGGTACAGAAAGGTGTATGCTTCTGTGTGCGTGTATTACGTGAGTATGAACGTCTTCACGGGGATGGAAGGTATTTTAGATTCTGGCCCCTTTTTTCGATTATGCTCAAATAATCTCGTTAATCATCTATGAACTCTTATGATGTCTCGTATGATCTACTTTGCTTAGACAATCGTGTAACGGTTGTAGATTTGTTAAATTAGATCATCCATATTGTATCTTATAATACAAAGACCGAATAAAATAATAATAAAAGTAATAATAATAATAATAATAATAATAATAATAATAATTGTTATTATTATTATTATTATTATTATTATTCAATAATATGGACCATAGTTAAAAGCACTTGCCTAACAATATTAATTAGCTTTCTCCCTCGGTTCGGCAGGACTTGTTTGCAGCGCGCCGATATGTGAGACGCGGATGGGAGTGCGTGAAGAGCATGAAAGCTGACTTAAACATCGGCGACCCGCTAGCACTCTACAACGATATTGAGAAGGATATCGTCGCTAGTTCTATCGTAGGGTTACCGTATTCTCTGACATATACTATGTTTTGATGACTTATCGTGAATTTACCTGTAAACAATTATAGCCCTACGTTGCAAACAACAACAATAATAATAATAATAATAATAATAATAACTAGAGCACTCGGAGAGCGCAGACCTCCGCCAAGGCAGCTCAATTCTCTGACTGTGAAATTTTTTATTAATTAATTAATTAATTAAATAATTAATTGGATCCGGATCACCACCAAAATGTAATCAATTTTAAGTTACCCCATTTCTGACCTATCCTGAAAATTTAATTAATTAATTAATTGGATCCGGATCACCACCAAAATGTAATCAATTCTAAGTTACTCAATTTCTGACCCAATCCTGAAAATTTAATTAATTAATTAATGGGATCCGGATCACCACCAAAATCTAATCAATTCTAAGTTACCCCATTTCTGACCTATCCTGAACATTTTATGACAATCCGTCTATAACTTTTTCAATTAGGCTGTACACAAACAAACCAACGCACAAACCCACAAACCAACAAACACACGCCGGTGAAAACGTAACCTCCTGCCAACCCCTTGGCGGAGGTAATAATAACAATAATAATAATAATAATAATAATTCAGAGACGTATCCAGGGACGTTAGTCTGTTGTCTGTGAGTTTACACGTCACTGTACGAGAGTCGTCTATATCGTAGGTAAAGTATGCGTTTTGTATCGTGTAACAAGCGCAAGTAATACTTCAAAAAAGTCCTGTAGATGAGACTGTCGTGCTCGTGACGCTGATGTATCTGCTTGTAGGCATGGGATCTACACATAGGTGCCACGAATGCCTCTACCGTCGGCTCGGCTATCTTAACAAGTACTCTAGCCGGCAAGAGTAGCAAAGGTTCGCAGTTTCTGTAAACGATTATATAGGAAGCATAATTACAATAATGTATTATAAATATGATTTGATATGAAATAATGGAAATATAAATAGGTTATAATATAAAAATAGTCTGAAATTATGTTTTTATTTGTTTTTTAATTTAGCAGTTAAAATTGAGTAATTCTGTAGGGTATATAAGCAATCTTTTTACATGAGTTTGTACGGTGATTTCATTTTCATAGGCCGTAGTTTTTGTGCAGTTCCATTAGTGGCACATTATTCTCGTTATCGTACTGTACTGTCTCGTTAACCTACGTCAGTAGTATCAACAACACGCGTAATTAATGGTTTTTCGCATTGTTGCTCATATCTATCAGAACTCTATATACTTGCAATTATATTTTTGACAGGACCCACTAACGAGGTACTGTCAGACGTCGCAATGCTTCTTTCAACCTGCCCGGACGTGCTTAGCGCGAACGTTCCCGCTGCACTAAGAACGATGGCGCTGGAAGTGTTGAACACCGGAAAGGCCGATTTTTTTCAGTCACTGTCACCGGAAGCGGCGGCTGAATGGCTCAGATCCAATGAAAGTGAAAAACTGAAGAAATTGTACGACGAATTTATTGAGATTCACGGACACAGATGCGTCCGAGAGGTGAAACCAATTTTCATCGTTTCGGCTATCTCATAGATTAGGCAATACATAGGCAGGAACGAATGCCTACTTTGGTTTAGCATTTACCACAGATATTTTATAAACATTATTATGCACATGTATATTACATACATTAGACTATAATTGCATATCACATCTGCGTTATAGGACACCTAGGATTCAAACTGCAGAAATGTAACTTCACTTATAAATAGACGTTGATGCAGTTTTCATACATGGTATATAAGTATCGCTTATAACTAAATGTGTCTGCAGTTTTCATTTAGTTTAGGTGAGCCTTGTATTAAAAATGCTTCTTGGTTTTGGCAGTCTGAGCTTTGGGAAAAGCCGTGGCGAATGGAACCCGCAAAGTTTGTCAAGAGCCTACAAGTAAATATTAAGATGACCGAGTACTAGCGTTGTTTAAATTCTACGAGTTTTCATTTCAGTTAAACGTACGTTAAAGCACGTCATTCGAGGTAGTTTGCGTCATTCGAGCATTGTTGTAGTAATCACAATCTAACTATCCGACTTGTTTTGATGGGCGTACGGCGCGGGGGGGGGGCAATACGAGTCAAAACGCCGTGTCTTTCGCGAAAGTCGAAACATGGTGCAGACTCGGCTATGAGTAAATATGATAAGACGAAGGAATCTTATTTCAGCGTATGGTTAAGTCACCCGATCAACTGAAAGACACGAAGAGAATCCTGTCCGAATCCGAGGCAATAGAGAACGTGAAGACCCCGATTGGTTTCATAAGAAAGTAAGCAGGGAATATCTAACGTGACATCTACTAAACTGTTACGAAACTGTTGCTCATTTTCTGAACTCTCGCACACATGATAGGTATTCACTTACTACTGTTTTACTGCCCGCATTTGTTACATTAGGTGCATACTACGATTCCTGTTACCAATAGCGAGAGAAGCTGTTGGACACAGAGAAAATGGAAAAAGCTTCGCGATCAAAGGCATGGACTATCTGCGGCAGGGATATACGAGACTGGCCGAGCTACTCGTACACACGGTACCTTGCGTGCTTTTGCACACGCATTTTCGCGTGTCTGAATAAGTCACAATTCTTAGGTTCAGAACGTGTAAAATTATACGATAAATATCGCCGCTATTTACATCGCTTTCATTACCAAAAGCTTTCCAATTAATTTTATCACATGCCATCACTGCAATTAAAACGGTTGAACTATTATAAAGATTCGCATGTCCGTGGTTTTCATCATCTGGCTCTTTACATGTTAGGGTCGCCTTCCCGACACAGAGCTGATATTCTTCATGACCAATCGTGAAATTGGACAGTTGATTAAGAACCCTTCAGCTAGACTGCTGAACAAGTGAGTAGATCTACGTTATGGTGCGTAATATTTACTTATATATTTAGGGTGTCGGACAGCAACCAAAGATTCTACTCTCTCTCTCTCTCTCTATCTTTCTCTCTCTCCGTCTCCGTCTCTGCCCCCCTCTCTCTCTCTCTCTCTCTCTATCTATTTATCTATCTGTCTCTCTCGCTCGCTCACTCTCTCGCTCTTTCGCTTGCAGCATCTCTCGTCCTCTCTTCCGCGCTCTCTCTTCCTCTCCCCTCTCTCAGCTCTCGTGTCTCTCTCACTCGCCTTCTCCTGTCCTCTCTTTCTTTTTCTTTCTTTTTTTCTTTCTTTTTTTCTTGCACTCCTCCTCTCACTCTTTCTAGGTAACGTAGCGTAGACATACATATTTTAACGTTTTAAGTAAATTATAAGTAAATGAACTTTACTTATTATTTGTTATAGGGCAATGCGAAGAAGGAAGCTCATGCCAACTCTGATGAACTTTCAATTCCCTGAGATAAACACCGGATATCCCATGCCGGTAAATTTTAACGCCTACAATGACATTGCTGGTGAACATACATGCAGCTTCAAAACGCGGACAAAATACAAACCCGAAAAAGCAGCGTTCCTCCAGTAATTAGAAGGCCATTGTCCAGCTCAATAATTGTACAACTAGCAATTGAGAAATTGAGAATGGAACGTTCAATTTCTAAATCGTCGTCGTCGTCGTCATCACCATCATCATCATCATCATCATCATTATCATCATCGTCATCATCATCATCATCATTATCATCATCGTCATCATCATCGTCATCATCATCATCACCATCGATCTTCATGACCATCACCATTAACATCATCTAAATCTAATATTTACAGATTGAAGATGATCAGCCCGCAGAGCTGTCTTTATCCACACATCTAGAAGGTACTAGAACGATTACATATATAACTAGAGCACTCGGAGAGCGCAGACCTCCGCCAAGGCAGCTGAATTCTCTCACTGTGAAAATTTTTATTTATTAATTAATTAATTAATTAAGTGAAAAATTTAATTAATTAATTAATTAATTAAATAATTAATTGGATCGGGATCACGACCAAAATGGAATAAATTCTAAGTTACCCCATTTCTGACCTATCCTGAAAATTTTATTAATTAATTAATTAGTTAA